CTTCAATAGTAATGGATAACACTGACCGTCGTCGCCGTCGTAAGCAACACAAAACCGCCCTCCATGACTCTGAAGGTTACTCTCTATATATTTTCTGTTTCCTAAATCCAACTTTACTATGTTTAAACATCTTGAAAATAAACTTAGTTCCTAGGATCCGATTTTCTCTTTTTATGAATTCGATAAAACGAGGGATATGTTTACTTCTAAATTAGTAACACCTCGTGCTAACTAATAAAAAACATATCAAGATTAGTTTCTAGTTTTAACAAAAACTAATTCCTTTTTAAAATTATATTTGTCTTTCATTATCTTGTTAATTTAATATTATTTTGAGTTTAATTAATTGGTTTAATATTGTTATGTGCAGAAGTTAGCAGTATCGAATGGGAGTTTATCAACATGACTGAACAAGAAGAAGATCTCATCTTCCGAATGTACAGACTTGTCGGTGATAGGTAACAATTTCTACTTCTTCTTTTTCTTTTTTCTATCTATTTTGTCAGCCTAAATTACAAATTATTTTTAGAAATTTCTAGGAACAATTTAATATGCAAGTATATACAATTTTACATACGTTAATTTAGGCATATGTACTTTACATATGTACAGTGTACCATGTTGTGTAGGGGAAGCACATGGTGTCCACCAATTTTCTAAAAAAAGCACATTTAATTAAAGCTATCAGGTTCATTAAATTATATATGTACACACTTATATATAGATAGAAATAAGAAGCTAATTTACTTTTCTTATCAGTAAGTACTTATGTATAAATGCTTGGCTGGCTCAAAAATGGAAATTTGAACTGACAAATTATATTTTATTATGAAAATATAAATGCTAATCTTTGGGTAAAAATGTGTTTTTTTTTTTTGAATTAGGTGGGATTTAATAGCAGGAAGAGTTCCAGGAAGACAACCAGAGGAGATAGAGAGATATTGGATAATGAGAAACAGTGAAGGCTTTGCTGAGAAACGACGCCAGCTTCACTCATCTTCCCACAAACATACCAAACCTCACCGTCCTCGTTTTTCTATTTATCCTTCTTAGTTTTCATTTTATTTTGTTTTTAAGCCAATGGGAAAAGAAAAGACAAAAAAAATATAATAGATGTATAGTAGTGGTTCTTGATAGTTTGAAGAATTTATCATCTATTGTTTTTTTTTTTTAACTTTTATAATATAGGTTTCATTTGGTAATCAACTTTAATCCATGCGGTCAAGTTTTTTTTTTTTTTCTCGTCTATGACTTTTACCCACACTATAAGTTTAATTGATACGGTAGAAATTCCTATTACAAGTTATTAGATTACACATGTTCAGCCAGATAGTTAAAATATTTAGAAAATAAAAGTTGTGTATTTAAGACCTTTGAAAAAACTTATGGTTGAGTTTTTTTAACGAATGGCAATCACGGATGTCAAAAGAAAAGAAAAACTAAGAACAATCACTTTATAAATAATAAAGAAATAAGAAACACTCCATTAGTTATAGTTCACTAATATATTTTGAAGAAACTTAAAAAGTATTTACAAAATTAATTAGTTAAACTTTTAAATAAATGAAAAAAAAAGTTACTCCAATTCCTAACCAAAGGTTATGATTATGAACTTCACAATCGCTTAAACACTAGGTATTACATTACATGCGCTATGTACGAACTTAAACATTTTTAAGGAAATAAATACATAATAAGAATCTATATTTAAATGTAGCTTCATACAAAAGTTTATCAGCTTATTTTACAAAAAAAAAAAAATTATCAGTTTGAAAACTTTCTACCAACACACAATAAAAAGTAGGAGATAATTTAAAAGTCTATTTAACAAACGATGTGTTGGCCTAGTGGTTAAGTCCTTTGGTTACCGATAATATAGGGACTTTGGAGGTCACGTGTTCAATTCACGTTGGGAGGGGTCTGTTCTCCAAAAAGGAGTTATATTACATGGTTTGGGCTTCGCTCTGGGGGATGTACGAGCTTACGGACTCAGAACCTCCTAATAATAAAAAAAATAAAAATAAAATAAAAGTCTATTTAAAATGTCCGGCTTATTGCTAAACGACTAATGAACGGATAGTTTTCCGTCTAAATCTGATTTTTCATGGACAGGAACTAAACGGATAGAGTTTTCGGCTATGCTTTCATGATTACGAACAAAACGAATCAATTCAGCTACCAAAGCTATATGTCGTTTCACAGTAACTCACAAATCACAATCCCACTTAAAACATAGCAATTTTAGGCCCAATAGTATTCCATTCGGCTGAGGCCATTATTTAACAAGGCATGACCGATCATTAAAGATTAATGTCATTAGAAATAAGTATTAAGTAAATATGGGCTGAAAAGATAATGCCCAATTCCAGTTTTTACAACCCAATTGTAAATTCACCAGGACACACTGCTCTCTCGTTTCTAGGCTTTAAGGTTTGGTTTGGTTCTGGATAATTCCATTAAAAAAATTTAGGATTTATTCAGATATTTTAAAATTTTGGTTTGGATTCAGTTATGCAATTCGTTTCGGTTCGGTTGTTTTTTAGATGAAGTTTTACATTCAAAAATTTAAAACCAACGACAGTATTTTTATTTTTGTTCTTTTTAAACAAAAAGAGGACACAATTCTATTTTAAAAGCTTTTAAATCGTTTGACACCATTGACATTTTCAAGTCTTCATCTTCATGCACCAGTCACGACTCACGACGAGAAAACAAATGGTTTAGAACTTATTAGAGCATCGCCATTGTCTTAGAAGAGCTCCATTGAGGTGGATGTCTTTTTTTAGAGATCTCTATACTATTAAAAGAGAAGTACAAATGTACTTGGGTCGGGTTTTATAAAAAAATTAAAGAGTAAATAACCCGGAATTTAACTAATTGGATCTTCCTAAATTAAAATTAAACATCGTTTGGGTATAATTACAAAATATAACACGAAAAGGTAATAGTAAATTGATTTCCAAATCTCGCTTAGCTCAAAAAAAGGCTTACGTGGCGAGCAAGTTATATACGATCTTCTGGATATTCTTCGAGATCAAATTATCTCTAAAACACAACTCAAACATTTTTTACGAAAACCTATCAAAGTTTCCTACTATTTTCCCAATGGCTCTCAACGACGTTTTCACAAGTCTCAATGGTATCGTTTGGGTATAATTACAAAATATAACACGAAAAGGTAATAGTAAATTGATTTCCAAATCTCGCTTAGCTCAAAAAAAGGCTTACGTGGCGAGCAAGTTATATATGATCTTCTGGATATTCTTCGAGATCAAATCATCTCTAAAACACAACTCAAACATTTTTTACGAAAACCTATCAAAGTTTCCTACTATTTTCCCAATGGCTCTCAACGACGTTTTCACAAGTCTCAATGGTATCAGACCTTTCAAAACGACCTGGAGAATTCAAGTCAAAATTCCAGTGGTTTAAGCTCAAAACGACACAAATCGGAGCTGCAATCTATCAAATGATGGGTCTGTAGGATAGTTAGATTTCATTGCAGAAGAAGATTGGAGATTTCGTCTTCTTCGTTTCAGATTTTTTTTTTTTTTTCCGGTTTGTACAGGTTACACGTATTTGACTCTTTCAACAGAAATAATATCTAAGCCCAGTTCCTTTAATATCCAATCAAACGTTGGACTTCATATTGGGCCCTATTATAATAAATATCTTAACACAAATATCATGTATTATATATTATGTAATTTTCATTAGTCTACACTACATTCACATTCACAAAAAACCACAAACAATGATAAAAAATCAAATCACAAAAAAACGTAGCGAAAAATCTTCCTCCGCGGTGACACCGCGGATTCTAACCTAGTTCTACATTAAAATAAATAAAAAATTAGAAAAGGATGAGAGAGACAAAAAAACATTTCTCAAATGAGAAACTTCCAGATATCATCTCTACAGCTACTTTTGTTGATTGGTTCAAACAAATAAAAATAAATTAAATAATTAAACAATATTAAAGTAATCTTATTTTATTTTTAAAATACCTAATTGAATTTGTAACTAATAGAGATGCTCTTAGAAAATTAGGACTAGAGTTTCTTAATGTTAAAACTAAAATATTAGTAATTAATGTTGAAAAAATATTGAACCGCATAAAATATGATACGTCAGCCGAAAAATTTCTCATTAACATACCATCGTTTCTCAAACGAGAGATTTTGCTTTTTCTCTTTTATTCCTTTTCTTTATTTTTCTAATATTTTAATTTTTAGATACAACTTACCACCAATAGAAGTGGCCATATATACTAGTACTGATATTTCGTATACTTACGTCTATCAAAATTTCTCTTAATCTGTATGACTCTAAGCTTGACTTTGAGTTTGTGGCTGTTTTTTTTTTCCGGGTTCAAACAGTTTGTGTCTGTTTTCTTGTACATTTTCAGCAAAATTGATTTTTTTGACTTAAATATCTAAATTTAGATATCAAAATATACACTGGAGATATTCTTACATTAAATATGTAAAATATAATTGAACGGATAAAAATGTGAAACGAGACATTTAAATTAGATCTTATACAAATATGTATACACGTTCGGTATAAACGTGTACATTTATATAATTCAATTTGAGACAAGATAATCCATGCATTTTCCATAGCAAAAAAAAAAACATCATTTATTAAGAGTTTGTAATTCATTTTATATATAAAAAAGGAATTTATAATATATGTTTTGATAAACTCTTCAATTAACATCGTTACATCCTTGTAAAAACTAATTCTCTATATCGATCTGTAACATCCACTCTTTCGAATTGTAGAACATTCGCTGTCGAATCAATATTCTTTCTATTTGCATAAGATATATATCCCTCACAAATTTAAAATGCAAGAATAATATTATTCATGAGATCACTCATACACTTTG